GGGCACTGTGGTGCAGGGGGTGGGGCAGGGGGTTCAGTAGGGGGCACTGTGCTGCAGGGAGCGGGAGAGCCGTGCTGCAGGGGTTGATGCAGGGGGTTCAGTAGGGGGTGCCATGCTGCAGGGGGCAGGGCAGGCAGTTCAGTAGGGGCACTGTGCAGCAGGGCATGGGGCAGGAGGTTCAGTAGGGGCACTGTGCAGCAGGGAGTGGGGCAGGGGGTTCAGTAGGGGCACTTTGCAGCAGGGAGTGGGGCAGGGGGTTCAGTAGGGGGCGCCGTGCTGCAGGAGGTGAGGAAGCGGGTTCAGTAGTGGGCACCGTGCTGCAGGGAGCAGGGTGGAAGCTCAGAAGAAGGTGCTCTCCCCTCAGTGTCACTCGTTACCCCAATGCCCCAGGATCCTGCACATTCCCTCCCCACACTCACATCCCTCCCCATCCCCCCCATCAACAGGGGGAAACGACAGACTAGCCCTGTTCCTCCCATATCAATAAGGAAAACAAGATGCTGCGCTCACCACAGCCGGACGGCGTCCTCCAGTCGTAGACAGTGACCGCGTGCTCGCGGCAGGCGTCCGCGTAGGCCTCCAGCGCCTGGCACAGGGTGCTCTTGTCACCCTCATTCAGACACACGTTGTGGACACAGCTGTGGAAGAACTCGTCGGGGCTCACTCTGGGGTGACACTCTCTGAAGGGCCCCCCTGGCGCTTTGCTGATCCCCCCGCAGTGACTGTCCCCCCCGTAGAGCTGCCTCTTGCTCTCCTCACACACCGGACATTTCCCCTGGCAGGAATCCCTGCAGGAGGGGTCTGAGTCCTCCACTCTCCAGCTATCAAGCCAGGCCAGGACGGAAGAGGCTTTGGTGCCATTGGAGAGCATCTCTTCATCGTCAGTGTCACCATTGAAGTTCCCACACAGCCCGCAAGTGCTCCCAAAATAGCTGCTGGCGAGAGTCACGATCACAGCCCAGTCACTGTCATACCGCACCTGGAGCCCAAAATCCGTCTGCAGGATGGGACGTCTCTCGCTCTGGGAGAGCTTGATTTTCCCAGCCTCCAGGGTGACCGGCAGGCGGACGCTCTTGTCGTTTAACTAACGAAAGAGAAGGGGGAAGAAACGGAGGCATTATTGCTCTTTCCACGACACCTGTTCTTACTGTCACTGTGAGCTCTCTGGGTAACGATTCACTGCCACAAATATCCAAAAAACAACCAAGAAAAAAGACAAGGGAAATTCACTGCCAAAAAACTTTGGCAATGCAGTGTTAAGATTACCCAGCACTGCCTTGCGCCCTTCCAGAATCTAGACTGTGGCTAAATTTAAACGTCTCAAAACCAGGACATAAAAAGTTAAAGTAATGGTCACTAGTTCTTACATCATGCTTTTTCATTAGTAGATCTTCAAGTGCATTTCTAAGGGGGTCTGTATCATAATCCCCATTTTATAGAAGGGAAAATTGGATCACATAGCAGAGAAGTGACTCACTCACCATCACTCAGCAGGCCAGCCCGCAATGCCGGCAATAACACTCGGGTCTTTTGAATGCTTTAGCCACTAGGCCACACTGCTCTGCCCAGCCTGGAACTAGGAGCTGGACCCCACCTGAGGTCAGATTCAACCAGGTAAGCTCAATTTAGGGCAATTCAGTACCATAGTTTGAGCCGCGGGTGTGCACGAAAACACGACACAAGGAGAGGCATAACAAAGAGACCTGCCCTTTGGTTCTGGAATCCCTCTGCACAGATCTGGTCGCCTCATCTCAATAAAGGTATATTGGAATTGGGAAAGGTGCAGAGAAGGGAAACAAAAATGATTAGGGATGTGGAACAGCTTCTACTGGAGGAGAGATTAAAAGACTGGGACTGTTCAGCTTGGAAAAGAGAAGACTAAGGAGGGATATGGTAGAGGTGTATAAAATCCTGACTGGTGTGGAGAAAGTGAGTAAAGTGTTATTTACCCCTTCAGATAACACAAAAACTGAGGGTCACCTGATTAAATTAATAGGCAGCAGGTTTAATGCAAATAAGAGAAAGTACCTCTTCACACAACACAGTTAATGTGTGGAACTTGTTGCCAGGGGATGTTATGAAGTCCAAAAATATAACTGGGTTCAAAAAAGAATCTGCTAAGTTCATGAAGGATAGGGCCATCAGTGGCTGTTAGCCATGAGGGTCAGGGATGCAGCCCTATCCTCCAGTGTCCCTAAACCTCAAACTGCCAGAAGCATCTGGCACTGGTCACTGTCAGAGACAGGATACCAATATAGGTGGACCATTAGTCTGCCACAGTATGGCTGCTCTTATGGACAAACTACTCCAAATTCACACCACTGTCCCTACCCCCAGCCTTGAAAAAACACACTAATTTTCAAGACAATCTGAGCATGCATGTGGATTCTAGAGAACTTTGAAACATTAGAAATGTGACATTTCCTAATCAAAATGTTTGGGAACTTTCGTTGCATGAAAATTTTCATATTTCAACTTCATCTCGATTTGCAATGACAGCAAACATTAAAACATCCAGCCTTTCCACAAGGGACTGAATTGCTGATTCTTGCTCAGCTGTCTCCACTTCTGCAGTTTTTCACTCCCCTGCAGTTTGGGTGGAGGGCTACTTACAGAACAACACTGTATTATATGTAGAATAGGATGAGTAGCTGATTTTTCAGTTTGGTGCCGGCTGCAAAAAAGAAAAAGTGGTTCGGATTGAACTGAGTCTGAATTTTTGGGGAATTGCTAAGATGCATTTGGGGCCTGTTGTAAGAGGTAGGATTTGAATCCGGGTCTTTTGTTTCCCAGCTGAGAACCCTAAAGAGTGGGCTAAAAACTGGCCATGCAACAACTCCTTCAGCCATTTTGTGACTGGCTAAAACTGCCTGTGTCAAATTCATGACTAGTTTTGGATTGACTGAAACTGCCTCTTTTGTTCAATAAAGCATTTATCCGAAAAAATATGCCCAGTTCTAATTATAAGTGAAAAAGTGAACCGAGTCAGACAACTCACCTTGACTTCTCCACTCTGTCCCTTGTAGATGGAGATGTTGTAGCCATAGACATGGATGGTGGTCAACCCAAGGTTGGAACTGTCCTGTTCCCCCATGTTGCTGTTTTTCTCCTCAATGGTGAAGGGCTCCAGGGTGGGGTCATGGCCACAGTACTTGGTGATGGTATAGGTGCAGGTGTCTTGGACATCCATAGTCTGACCATCAAAGGTGTAGTACTGGGAGGTCAGGGACCCCTGGCAGGTTCCCATGTAGTCATGGAAACATATTGCCTGGCCGTTCTTAATCCTGCATGTTTCCTTCTCCCGGCAATTCAGCGTTCTGCATGGATCTGAAAAAACCCATAATCTCCAATGGATTTTGCTGGGGAGTGAGGCCTGACATGACCCCTGTGTTCAACAGAACCAGCTGGGGTGCCAGGCATGGGATGGCCAACAGAACCCAAGGGCTGATCCAGATGGAACTGAGTGCCTGCAGCTCCCACTAACTCATAGACTTCAAGGCCAGAAGGGATCATCATGATCACCTAGTCTGACCTCCTGCACATCACAGGCCACAGAACCTCCCACACCCACTCGTGTACCCGACTCCTAACCTCTGTCTGAGTTACTGACATCCTCAAATCATGATTTAAAGACTTCAAGGGACAGAGAATCCGCCTTTTACTCTAGTTCATACCAGCAAGTGACCTGTGCCCCATGCTGCAGGAAAAGGTGAAATCCCCCCAGAGTCTCTGCCAATCTGACCTAGGGGAAAATTCCTTCCCAACCCCAAATATGGTGATCAGTTAGACCCTGTGTGTGTGGGCAAGACCCACCAGCCAGACATCTGGAAAAGAATTCTCTGTCATAATGTAGAGCCCTCTGCATCTAGTGTCCCATCACTGGCCGTTGGAGATATTTGCTATCAGCAGTCACTGTGGGCAGTCTCATCATACCATCCCCTCAATAAACATATCAAGCTCAGTCTCAAAACAAGTTCGTTTTTTTTATCCCCACTGCTGCCCTTGGGAGGCTGTTCCAGAACTTAACTCCTCTGGTGGTTAGAAACCTTCATTTAATTTCAAGCCTAAACTTATTCATGGCCAGTTTATAGTCATTTGTTCTTGTGCCAGCACTGACCCTTAAATGACTCCTCTCCCACCCTGGTGTTTATCTCTCTGACGTATTTATAGAGAACAATCCTGAGGCTGAATCAAGGGGAGAGAAGGAGGGTGCTAGGGAGAGGTGGAGAGAATCCATGACACCATACTCACCACTGGCACAAATGGCTGGGGAGCCGTACGCCTTCTGGTTTCCGATCCCAACGCTCAGCAGGCCGAAGGGGGAGCTGGCGTGCTCCACGTTATGGACCTGGAACCCTTTGCCAAGGCTGTATTCAGCCCAAGAGTATTCTGTGCCTGGAACTGGCCTCCACAGGACATTGCGCAGTGGTCTCTTATCGATGGTGACCCCCACGGACTCTGATGTCTTGGCAATGATCAGTGCATAGTTCTCAAACTCGTTGTGCCCGTAGATGTGATAGGACTGGCAGTAGCTCGAGACAGCTGGGATGGCCATGAAGAATGGGTCGTATCTGATGTTTCCTTTGGTCCCACCATCGCAGAAGAAGATGACTTGGATCCCAGCGCTAGCGGAGAAGAACAAGGCATTGGAGCTAGGGATTCTGTACTGCACAGCCTTCTCAGCTAGCAGCCTCATGCTGCTCTTGCTCATTCCAACTTGAACTTCCACCTCAGTTGCTTGGGAGGTGGAGATGTAGACGATATCACCCTGCATCTCAAAGGACAGCGGGGGCACGATGAAGGTGGTCCCCCAGCTGGAGACAGGCAGGAGCTGCTCCGACACATGGTCACACTGATTGGATCTTGTCACACAGGTGTGTCCAGCGTAGACAGCCACAGGCTTCTGGGAAATGATTTTGGTGCCAGATATGTCCACTGGGCTCTGCAGCTGGACAGCCTGGTTTGCCTCCAGCTTGATGGTAAGCCTGCTCCCTCCGAAGTGCGTCTTTCCTTGAAAAATGACAGCCCCTTTCAGATGCACATCAACTGTGGTGGGGCCCTCCCAGGCCACAATGGCAAACTCTCCATAGCGATCCGTGCCCATGGTCGGCGTGGCAATATAATACTCCGTTCCCAAGCTCTGCACCGGATAGACAGGGGTGGTGTCAGCCGAGTTGGGTTTGGAGTTGAGTGAGAGGACAGAAACATCATTGTCAGCCCGGACAACAACTGTGTTGTCGAAGACTTTGGCCCCTACCATCTCAGCATGGGGTGGAATTATCACCGTTGCAGTCTGGCCGGCATCCACCTGGACCGGCACCCTGAGCGCCGGCTTCTTCATGGAGATGGTGATCGATGTGGCTGGGGCGTAGCCTGTGATGAGTAGCCGGAAGTCGCTGTTGAGTGTTTGTTGTAAGCCGTTCTGCATGAAGGCAGTGATGAATTCTCTTCCGAGAAGGCTCGGAGGGGAAGACCCTGGAATTTCCCCAGATTCCACACTGAGAGCAAGGTTAGGTATGCCTGAAGAGACAAGTGGAAGGAGAAGACAGCTGTTGTTATAGGGGTTGCATTATTGATCATGGACCACAGAACAAAAAGATGAGTGTGTGAACTAAGCATAAGACAAGCAACCGCAGATAGATACAGACAGACAGGGGGAGCACCAGGGAACAGCCAATGAGACAGCATCGCTCAGCATGGTGGGTTGTCAGATGACCAGCGGCGTAACCATTGTCAAGATTTTGTAGTCCTCATGGCAGGATTTGAAGGTGGAGAATGTGCTGGCTTTGTGAAGGTTTGCGGGGCGCTCCTGCCAACCATACAGGGCAGTGTGGGGGAAAGCACAAAGGGGCTTGTTTATAAATTGGTATAGGAGCCCATCACACACTGTGATGAAAGGGGTTATTGTCATTCGGTGCTAGCTCCATTACAACTCAGCGTGCAGTGAATAGAGCCAGGGGAGGCTGAATGGTTTATAAAGTGAGTCATGGCTGTTGCCGTAAATTGAAGCACTAAAACCAATCCACAGGGACCTGCTGCCTTGTGCTGTCTGTTATTGCCACGTGTTCGGAGAACTGGGAAAACGAGGAACAAGGGTCTTGCGGTCAAGGCCCTAGATAGGGTTCAGGCAACCTGGGTTTAGTCCCCAGCTCTACTTGGATCAGCACTGACTG